TTGAGTTGAAGTTTCAACCTTATACCCGATCGAGTATAGGTAATACTCGACCGAGTAAAGGTAAAAATCAGGATTTTTCCCTTTGTCTTGTGATTTGCACCTTCTTTCCACTTTTGGGGTTCACCAACCATCCTTTTAGTGATAATGGACCTGTTTGAGCTCAGAATAATCCTAATCTAAACAATTTACAAGGATTTAACAAACTAAACTATTACACCAAAAGTGTGTAATTTCCGAAACATTAAACAACCAAAACTAGCTAAAAACACAAACATACACAAGGAAATTACAAGTGTATCACTTCTACATTGTTTAACCTCATGAATCGGTTATTGAATTGTAATTTTTGTTCACCAAGGAGGGTGGTCGTGAGTCATGACTTATGAGAAGTTTTCTTAATATTACAATAGTAGTATACTAGTATGTATGAGATTGTTATTTTTAGAATAATATGCACCACATACACACACATATATGGTGCAAATTACGGAGTATATTTTAATATTTTTATTAATTCTATAATAATTTAAAGTTTATTATCCATGCAGTAAATTATTTTTAGAAAGCAAGAAGTAAATGAATTATGTAATCTAATGTCTATTAATATTTATATTTTGGATTCATTTCACGTGATCTAAAAATTGTGTAATTAGTGTGTCTGGTATTTAATATTGTTTGATATATGTTTTACAAAATCCTGTACTTGTTATCTAATAAAGATAATTAAACATTACAAAACTAGGAATTCTTATATAATAAGTATCCTAAATCTTAAATAACGAGTTACTCTATTATTTATTTGTTTAAGTTATGTAAATTATTTTAGATGTTTCTTCTTTTAAATCTCCAATTAAGTATTACATTATGTAAGACTATATACTACTTTTGAAAATTAAAAGCTAAGGGGGGCGAATATAATTAAATTATGAAAGTTTTATGAAAATATTACATATATGGTAAAAAAAATTGAATGTCCAAGGGGGGCGGTCGCCCCCGCGCCCCCCCCCCCCCCTAAATCCATACCTGAGTATTAAAAATTATGTGATTTAGATTTAGTTACCAAAACAGACAATATAATTTAGATATAAGTGCCCAAGAGATAATAAAAAGTCAAAGACGAAAGAATGTTTATTTAATAAATGTATATAGATCGAGTATTTTATACATGTATAGGTTATCAACTTTAGACAAATTGTTTTACTTATATCAAACACATTGTTTGTGAAATAAATTAATTTCATTTGAGATTGATGTAGCGCACAAGAGTTTGGCTAGTTTTTCCGGTTGTACATTCTCGCATATAATATACGAAGTATGTTTTATTAAATGTCAACATTCTTGATTGTGATAAATTTTAATTGAACATGTGACTTCCTGCTTGAGAATGTCACAATAATATCATCAAACCATAAAGTCATTATTGTGTTTGGTTAGTACTCCGTAATTATTGCCATTATTATTCTAGGACTACCACAAGTTCACAATTATTATACAGAGTATACGAGTAATATATACTCCGTATAATAATATACTCCCCCATATCACATATTCACATATATCTTCCCACTTCCAAAGTGGGTGAGATTAAGAATAGTGAAAGAGGATATAAGTTATTGAGGATATGATAGGAAGATAGTGAAATAATGTGATGGAATGAAGGATAAATCCAAAAAAAGTAGGTGTAATAGTGTATTAGTTTTTAAATTATTGAGTGTATGATAGGAAGATTTAGAAATCGAAGATATAAATGAAATCCAAAAAAGTAGGCATATATAAATGTTAGAGAGGGAGTAATCTTTATAATACATCCGTTCTTAAATAAATGCAACATATGAAATTTTAAACTATTCACATGTTCTACTTTGACTACGTTTATTTATTAATGTATTAATATTATTTTATGAAAAAAAATATTGTTAAATTTGTCTCATTGTAAATTTTCAAAAACTAATTTTTTACTTTTTTACTAATACAAATTATATATATTAATGGTCCAAATTGTGTTTTGATAAGTGTGAAATGTTGACCATTGCATTTATTTAAGAACGGATGGATGAAGTATATAGTTTACGTAAATCATACTCCCTCCGTCCCAGGGAGAAGTTCCCACTTTCCTTTTTTGATAGTCCCAACAAAAAGTTCCCATTTCCCTAAATGGAAAGTTATCCTACATCAAAACAGTGTCAAACAGTGCAAAACAGTGCCCAACAATGCCAAACAGTGTCGAAACAGTGCCAAACAGTAAAATTTACCCCTCAGTAACTTTATTTCCTAAATATGTGTGAAAGTCAACCCGAGAACTTCTCCCTGGGACGGAGGGAGTATGTCTCGCTGAGTTTGGAGAACAGATCCCCAGCCGATAGTGGACTCTGTTCCGATTAATCCTTAAATACGGAGTATACTTTTGCTATAAAGGCTGCGGATCCTGTTCCGAGAAAAAAAACAGGTATTGTTTGACTAATCTAAACAATTGAATCATATTTTCACTTAGAGACAAAAGCAGAAAAAGTCCATTGTATACCTGATTTTACGTTTAGATAATGCTGATTTTGTAGAAATCATAACCTTTTACTCGCACTACTACAATTTAAGATGGAATATTACCCGAAATAGGACTAAAAAGGTTTCAAAATTCCAAAATAGGACGAACAAGTTTTTATTTCCAAAATAGGACTAATTACTGTCATGTTTTGGCAGTACCTGACTTCAAACATGGCAGTATTTTCCAAACTTGGCAGTAATTACTCCTATTTTGGGAATAAAAAACATGACAGTCCTATTTTGGAATTTTCAAACTGTTTTAGTCCTATTTCGGGAACTTTCCCATTTAAGATCTAACGTAACATTGAAGATGTAACATACCTATAAAAGTGTTACATTTTTCTCTAATGTAACACTTTTTAGACCCAATGTAACACTTTCTAGAAGTATAAATGTTACATTAGAGACTATAAAGTGTTACAATAGGTCAAATGCAACATGAGCAAATGTAATGGTAAAAAAGTGTTACATTTTCTCTAATGTAACACTTTTCAGGTCTATTGTAACACTTTTGGGTGATACATTAGATGTTGAAATGTTGTAGTGTCGTAATGAGTTACGAGGGTCGTAATATATCAAATCGAAAATATTTGAGAGTTCTATACTTTCAAACTTTCAGCGGGATCGGCTGCTCCCCTTGGCTCTGCCTCTGATTGAGAGTTTATTTGATCAAATTACTAAAAGGATAAGGCTAGCATTTACTAAAATATAACCATAAGTCAGTGTGGAAATATCATTATATCCACGTTATATTACTGGTGAGCTATTTTGATTTGGTTGATTTAGCACTCTTTTTTGAGCATCAATTAGTTTTATCTAGCTATGACTTCATATATTATGTTTTTTGTCATATTCAAGTTCATATTTATTCAAAAAACTTATAAGTAATTTCTGGATATATAACTTTCAATTATCAATACCTATTATAAAAAATACTAATAGATACCTCACTTTGAGGACACCATCATCAATTTCACAGCATCCTCTTAATGTTTCACACTTGCTAGGTTCTTATTTGTCAAAAAACACTATATATTGAAATAAAGTGTTAGTTCCATTGTTCACACATACACTTCTAGAAAGAGCTTATTTGAATATCGTTATTTAATTGAAATGTGTATACATTTTTTCATTCAAGTTAGAAGGTCATGCTTCTCGTGGTTATGAGGCAGCATTTTCATTAAAATACTAATCTTTTAGTTTTCGTTTTCCTTATAAACTCAATGTTTTTTTGTTGTGCTTTGTTTGCCACTAGACCCAATAGTAGTACTCTCTCCAATTTAGATGTGGGAGAGAAAGTCTATTTCGAACGTCTTTGGCTCAGTTATGTCCAATTTAGAATCAACGAGTCATATTGTGTTCTGGGACGTGATCGACTCCAAGTCAGGTTCGAGGGCTGATTGTTGGAAAGAAATTTTTTTGTCTGGATGTAATTTTTCTGAAATCGGATTATTCAATATTAGTCTCTTTCTTAAGAAACTCTTACAAATACAAAATTTATGGTAAGTGTTCATACGTACGTCTTACAAAATTTATGACCCAATTTGATCATTATAGAAAAGTGAATCTCATCAAGTTTTATGGGATATCTCAATTTTCAAATGATCACTTAAAGTTTGTACTCCGTATTTATAATGGCTATATCATTCATATAAGTGACCTTTGATTGCTTTATTTTCCGTCTATTCAACTTTATCAATTTTATGTATCATCATATTTCTACAAGTGGCACTTTTAGTCCACATGCTAATTGGTTAGTAATTCAAACCTTAAAGTCAAATGTCTTTTCTATATAATGATATATTTATGACTAAAATAAATGGTGTTTATAATATTGTGACATGTTACGTAGTGATTATGGCTATTCAAAAAATGTAGTGATTATGATAGTAACTTAATTTATAATAACTTATATTCAATTTTTATTGAAAAATTCAGCGATACTTTTGAAAAATACTCTATTTAAATGAAAAATTATATTATTCTTTTATGTATACAGAGTATGTGTTTCTTTATTTATTACTCCATAAATCCATAGCAAAATAAATTCTATATTAAGCATGTTTTCTTTTGATTTGTTTTCAGTCCCTGACCAGATCAGACCAGACCAGAGTAGATCATATCTGACTTTTGTAGTTATAAAATATACAGAGACCAGACATTTACCAGATCAGATCAGATCAGACCAAAGCAGCAAATTTCAGTCCAAAAGAAAATATCCCAAGTCATATTTTAACCCGATTTAGGTAGGGCTTAGTCAATTTTAATTCATTTACCACTTCACCCAATTTTGAGCTTACTATTGGAATCTGAATGGACAAATGGATCTGAATCTGAGTGGATCTTTATCGTATAAACAAATGTATTTAAGATTTTGTGAGTGTGATTAGACACACCAAATTAGCTGCATTTACTATATCTTTATGGTTCACTCTGTCACTCGCTATCCTAGTTTGGTCCCCTTTAACAACCTTCGTTAAATACTTTTCATAAACCATCAAACATGAGATCTAATCTCACCCTCAAACCACTTAAAAAAAAACAATCAGGACTTTCAGCAGGTCTCTCTTCTTCCACTTTTCTTGTTGTAAGCATACAAAACCCCCCATCTTTTACTGTTCTTTGTTTTTCTTGCTCATATGGTCAATGGTCATTGTCTTTTAAGTTTGATCATGATATTATCATTATTATCATCATATTGTTTTCATTGCTTTGTAAAGGAAATCAATCCTTTTTGTGCTCCTTTGTTCCAGCTTACAATATCCTCAACTTTCTGATCTTGCTTATCTTTTTCTTGATTTCAACCGTGTTGAGGACCTTTAGAGTAAAGATTTTATCTTTCTACTTTCTCTTCTGGTTGCAGCTTAAGCAATGTGCTTTGCTCACATTTGTTACAACCCATCAGTTCTTGAATCAAGTTGTGTCACTTTCATTAATAACATTGGCACATTTTTTGAGTTTCTCAGAAAACTGGGTTCGGATTGGAAATTATGATTAAAGATTTCATCTTTCTTAGTTTCTCTTTTCTATGGAAGCTTAAGCATTGTGATATGTTCATGTCATATTGCAAGTCCTCAATTCTTGAGTGGAGTTGTAACATTTTGTTTTCTCTCAAAGGAGCGAGTCAAGATGTAATAGTAAAGCATTCACTTTGACCCACTTTTTTTTTCTGGTACAGAAAATTGAATTGGGATTTGGTATCCATGTTTAGTTTTACAGTGAAGACGACAAGTTGGTGTAACTAGTGGAGTTTTTCTACTGCTGCAATTGTAAAAATGGAGTCTTTGAACTATGCTTTTGAAGAAAAAGGTTTTCATTGTTCTGATGAGTTACCTGTAGATTCCTTATCAAGAACTAGAAGTCTTCTTAACGAATTCAGCTTAAACCCTTTCTCTGATCATCATGAAGGAGAAGAGTTCATAGAGTCTGGTTTGGCAGAAATGCTACAGAGATCCAAAACTGATAATGATCTTAGGCAAACAGCACTTTGCACTGGTGATGCTAATCCCGTGTTCATTGACTCAAAGTCATGCTCAGATATGGCTCCAAAGAAACGAATGAATCCAAAGAAGATGGTAATGAATGATTCCAAAGAAGGGAAAAGGGCTCGAGTCACTAATTTTAGTGCCAAACAAGTCCTTATTTGTCAAGTTGATGGATGTGACCGGGACCTGAGTTCTTCTAAAGACTATCACAAGAGGCATAAAGTGTGTGATGAGCACTCTAAAACGGCCAAAGTCATTGTTAATGGCATCGAGCAGCGATTTTGCCAGCAATGTAGCAGGTAAGCTCAATCTTTCAGACTACTTGTTATATATTCATAACATAAAAGCTAAAAAATTAGTTTGTAATCATATCTTAGCATCTTCACTAAGTACATTTTGGTTATGATCAATTCTATTCTGTAATAAATTAAGGGGGTTAAGTTTTAACTTAAACCAGACCAACAATATAGAAGAGCTGGAGCTCCAAAATGACTCTAAAGTCTAAACTTGAAACATCGACTATGAGGTTGGGTTTTCCCCTATAATATTACTAAAACAAAATACCATGGTTACTGTGTCGTAAAAGTCGCACCTTTGTTCATTATTTCTCTTTGGGTCTTATATTTGTTACTAGTATTATATTGTGAAACTTAGTTAACTTCCTGGTATAGGATATTGTAACATAATGGAGCATCATGTGTGTTGATGCTTCTTTAAATAAACTACAATGTTGAAAAAATAATAATGTATTAGGAAGAAAGATGAACTTAATGTTTGATAAACTTGTCACTGCCTCATACGAAGTATATTACTAGTTAGGAGTTCTTGGATGCATCTGCAATAATCTTAAACTATGCAGGTTTCATTTGCTAGCAGAATTTGACGAGGATAAAAGAAGCTGTCGCAAGCGCCTTGCAGGCCACAATGAGCGTAGACGAAAGCCTCTGCGCGAATCTCATTGGGGTAAAATGACTTCATTTTGTTCTAACCAGTACTCCTTATATTTTGCAGTACTTAATGTAATCAACCAACATATAATGCCACTTATCCTATCACTTGAGTTTTAGAGCTACTTTGGTTAGGGGATTTCAGGGGAGGTAGGGGGACGAGTAATTTTTAATTTTTACGGAGTAAACTATTGTGGTGTGTAGGCAATTGGAAATAAAGTGGAGATTAAATACTATAAAGAAATATCTAATCTACCTAAGCATAGAGTTATTTCTTGTCTAAAGTCTAAACTAACACATAGAGATAAGTAAGAGAAAAACCAATCCTCTCATTCTCTCCGAAATTCCCAAACCGTACATGCCATTAATATTGAAACAGGTCTGCATTAATAGAATCATATATAACATTAAGATAGGTTAAATGTATAAAATGATTCTGATTAGTCTAACAACGCACAGGCTTAAGCATTAGTCTTTTTAGTGCTAGTCAACAACATTCAAGTCTTAGTTCAAGTGTTTGGGATGGGTTCTAACCCGCTTTTATAAGGACACATACATCGTCTTATGTTAATGGTTTTTATTTTATGTATTACACAGATATTGCAGGGCCAAGGCTCTTAAATTTAACTGCAGAAAAGACTGTCTCATTTTTGTTCCCAGAAGTACTCAGCACCAACCACTTTTTTGAAGAAAAGTATGATCCTGAAGAAAGAGTCATTGATTTGCCACAACCAAAACCTGCTCAAGAACTCTGCAGGGGAGAAAATTTCATAGCTTCTCACTCTCTTCTGTCAGCAAATAATGAAAACGTTCTAAGCTATCCATTAAGCGAGTTGGACAACTTTGGAGTAGCGGAGAGGGAAAGCGTTCTTAAAGTTAGTGATGGCAATATTGGCTTGAACTGTGAAACTGAAATGGATAGGAATCTGCACATATCAGATTCTTGGAATTTGAATATGCATATGTCCTCCGAAAGCGGGGAAACCATTGATCTGCTGCAGCTGTCCACACATCTACTTAGAGTGGAGCAGCAGAGAAGTTACCCGCAGGTGAAACAAGATAGCTGTAACTTCTGTTTTACTACCAGTTGAGGATCTGCAAATGCATTTAGTTATTAGAGTCCTGTTTACACATTTGCAGAAGTACTGATGATTTTCAAAATTGCAACTGAGTGGGTAGAATATTTATATAGTTGTAAGGTTTTCTTGGTTATGAATAAGGTTCAGCTTAACTCAACCTTGGAAAAGTTAATGAAAAGTGAGGACTGTTCAACTCTTACAAAGAGATTCATTCATTTTTAAATAGTTACTCAAGGTGAGACAGTTTCCAATATTCTTATAATTCTTAAAAGAAGGAAAGTTTGCCTTTTTTTACTCCATCTCTTTTATGTTGTTGGCTAGCTTCTTTAAATTACTCAAGGTGAGACAGCTCTTTTAGTTACTCAAGGTGAGACAGTACAACTCTTTCCTAAATGCACTACTCCCTCCGTATTGTAAAGATCACTACAATAGGCTTTGACACAATATTTAAAGAGGAAATAGTAGGAGTAATGAATATTGTAGAAAAAGTAGGAGAGAAGGTGAAAAAGTAGGAAAGAAAAGATAAAAAGTAGAAAAAGTAAGGGTAGTTGGGTATTTTTAAAGAAAAAACTTACCAAAAAGAGAAAGTGTAGCAAACTTTTAAATACGTCCCAAAAGGGAAAGTGTAGCAAACTTTAGAATACGGAGGGAGTATATGTAACCATATTTACATAAATTTGTTTTCTTTATCACCTTACTACACATGACAGGGCTTATCCCAAATTTAGGAAAAGGATTCCATAATGGAACTCCAAATTAGGTGGGATAAACAAATATATTTACAGCAATGCCTCAAACAAGGTCTACTTTGTACGGATTCATTTTGGGAATTTTTGGATTCAAATAATAGCGTTTCTGGTTTAACACATGATTAATAATTAAATACTCCCTCATTCTCATTTTACCTGTTTTACTTTTCTTTTTGAGTTGTCCCAAAATAAGTGTCACATTTCTCCTTATGGAAAGAAATATGTGGTTCACAACATTTCACTTTAGTATACTCAAATCTCAACAACAACTTTACTTTTTCAACCACTTTATTAAAAATTGTGCCAAAACCAAAGGAGACACATAAACAGGGATGGAGGTAGTACCTAATAACTTGAGCATAAGATCAAGAGAAAATTGAAAATAATAATCCCAACTATTGTCCGTCCGCTGACAATAATCCCAACTATTGATTATTTTTGTATAATTCCAACTATATGGACCATCCGCCAATAATGGTCCATGACCAGATATTACCTCCTATAACAAGTAAATTTTAAATAGAAATTATCCTATAACAAGTAAATTTTAAATAGAAATTAAGCGTAAAAATTAAAAGTTAGGATTATTTATAGAGATTACTTGCTATATCTCTTCTCATCCATTTTAGAAACTACAAGAATTTATTTATAGGGACCATTATTGGCAGAAGGTCCCTAAAGTTGGGATTGTTCTGAAATAATCGATAGTTGGGATTATTATGAGCGGACCGCCAATAATTAGGATTATTACTATCAATTTTTCCTAAGATCAATTTGTAGTTGTGTATATTTTATTCTCTTCTGCACAAATCTCAACTACACAAGTTTTACTTTTAGAAAAATGACATGTATATTACTAATAGAGTTACCCCAGACAAAAATATGACTAGTTATGTTTTTGGACAAAAAGATGATTAGTCATTGTGTACGAGTCACTGTGAACAAGTCACTATAGTATATTTTAGAATAACAAGTCACTGTAGAAGACGAGTCACTAGTGTATTTTAGAATAACAAGTCAGTGTAGAAGACAAGTCACTATGAACTAGTCACTAAATATGTCATTTTTTTATTTTTTTTAAAATAAGTCATATTTATGTCTTTTGAATTTAATGTAGTAATATTAATGGAAAAAGGCTTTTACTTTTAATTATTTCATATCTAATACAAATATGGCAATGTCCAACTGGGCAAAGGTAATATATATATAAACTAATAAGACCAGATCAGACATTTATCAGATTATATAGACAAGACTAAACCTAAACAGACCAGACCAGAAAATTCAAATACAATTAAAAACATCGTCATTATCATCAATCAATAACACAAGAAACTTTTTCAATTAAAACGAGCGAAGATCTTGAAAGGATATGGGGGTGTTTGGATCTGATTCTCAAACTGATTCTGCTCCTTCAGGGAGCAGAAACAGAAGCTGGAGTGTTTGGGTGAAATTCCAGAAGCACTTCTGGTAGTTTAATTTACTCTCAGAATCAGTTTTTTTAGAAGCTGGTAGATACCAACTTCTGAAAACTGATTCTGATTCTGCTTCTGCTTTAAAAAGGAAGCAGAAGCAGAATTAGTTCCAAACACCCCCTATGATAAATAATATTCCGTAATAGTTGGTGATACAATAATCGAGCTACTTTCACTAAATTATACGGAGTATTGATTGATAAGTCGTTAGACAGTACAACTAAGGGATTCAATAAAAAGTTGAAACATGAAACAAATTGAACTGAGCCCTTCGTGAATTAATTAATTTCTCATGAAACCCCAAACTTGCTTCATGCGTCCTCAAAGCTCTAAACCTAAAAAGGTAAAAGAACATAAAGAGACTACAATATACGGAGTAATGTTTTTGTGTTGTAAAACTTAAATACTTCGTAAATAAATAAATAAATAAATAAATAAATAAATAAATAAATAAATAAATAAATAAATAAATAAATAAATAAATAAATAAATAAATAAATAAATAAATAAATAAATAAATAAATAAATAAATAAATAAATAAATAAATAAATAAATAAATAAATAAATAAATAAATAAATAAATACCCTTCTGGTTTACCAAATAAGTAAATAAACATATACAAACAAAATTAAAATGGCAGAAGAAAATATGTATTCTTACATTGATGTTATTCTCTGAAGTGGACCTGCTTGACGGGTTTGGGATGTACCTTGCCCACTATGAAATGTCAAAGGTATTATAGCATAAATGATTAGTGACATTGAATTGTCAATTGTACATTTTCTTGTGACATGGTTTACCCCGGTGTTGGTTTTACATACCCAAAATATTTATAATGAAAATTAGATTTAGACATACTTCCAGTCTCCATAAATATAGTGCTTTTTTGTTTTAGTTCGGAGTTAGAAATGAACTAAAAAATTACTCTGTAATGCATAATACAGAATGATTTTTTCTTTTGAGAAAGTTTAAAATAAAATGTATCATATTTACAGGGACTAGAAATATATTTACAAGGAATGTACCAATGATTTAGATTTTAAAACAACAAATTAAACATACATTTTTTGCTGCAGCACTGAAAGCTTCACGATGCGGTATCTCTGGATTGGCTGCTTTGATGCGCTGAATCTCCTCCCTATTTTCGAATTCCAAAATATTTTTAATCCTACTTCATTCGAAAATTTCCCTTTTCTCTTTTATAATATGTGGTATTAGGATGTTTTTACTTGGACTGAAATTTGCTGGTCTAGTCTGGTCTTGTCTGATCAGGTCAAGTCTGGTCTGTTTAAATCTGGTCGGGTCTGGTCTGGTATGCGTTTGATCTTTGTGTATTTTATAACTAAGAAATTCAGGTCAGATTTGATCTGTTTAAGTTTAATCTGATTTGGGACTGAAATGTGAAATGAAAACACAAAGCTTACTTCATGAACCGGTTGTAGGCAGATGGAAGCCTATGCTTCTTCTCAGGAGCTGAAATTGAAATAATATAAAAGCACTTGAGTATGAAAAGCTCACATCACATTAATCCATTAAACTGCCAATAATCTCATACTAGTGTAGGTGTTTGGTAAGAAGACAAGTAAACAATATAGAGAATTAAAGAGGTTATTGAATTTAATGTGTAAAGTCCCTCGTCATATACAAATCTTGCGAATTAGCTACTCGTAATTTGTGATTTGATAAATAAATCAAACCCCATATCTTACGAGAGAAATTAAAATTCCTGAAATAGAAGTAAAATATAAGGTGCACAAATAAGATCATCATTACTTGATTCTCAAAATATGATTCATTCCATCCTAATTGAAAATGTTGAATATATGCTTTTAATGGAGCCAAATAACTACTCATATTTAGTGAAGGGTAAATGTGTCCTACTGTATGATTACACGACATGTGAATATGTGAAGCTTCCTAAATTATACGAAAATATTTAGGATTTTTTACAATAATATTACTAAAATAAAATTTATTTACATAAATATGACTAATAATTATTTACTACAATGTAGTGTCATTGGAACTTAAGATTAAAAATTGAACATAACTTACTATGATTTTACTACACTACTCACATTTTTGTTAACAATCTTTATTTTAGTCACAAATATGTAATTATTTCAAATATTTAACACTTTTTTTATTCTATAATTAAATATGTTATTCCCATGTATTAGGTGCATGACTAATTATTATAAGAGGCTAATGCACATAATTTGTAAAACATGAGGCAATGTGGCACATTAATCAAACCCGGCCTTTAACTATTTAACATAAATGGTAAGGCATTATAAAACATTTGCTATTGTACCATGTAAAACATCTACTTTGTGGAGGATCGTGAAG